CTAGTGCTCACATCAGGGACAGTAAACAGTGGAGTCCCACAAAAAAAGTTTCAACTAGGTTTTGTGCCTTTCAACATAAATCATCTGGAAAACTGTGAATTTCCAAGTGCTTTTGATGATACCAAAATATACAGAACAGTAAAGGTAAGGGACAACATAAGAACAACAAATTAATCAAATGACCAGGCAACAAAGCATGAGATGAAATTCAAAGTAAATAACTGAAAATTATGCATGAGGAAAAAAATTATTGTAACATCACATAAAACCTGATTGGTTTTGAGGTGGTTATCAGCTAAGAAAATTATCTGTGAGTAGTAACAGCTGATTGTATGAAAATGTCAGCTTATAGCTCAGTACTGTTTGAGAAAGTGATTTAAATTCTAGGAAGTATTAGGGGTGAAAGAGAATATTATGCCACTTCATAAATGACTGCTACACTTGGATCATGAATACAAAGTGCAATTCTGGTCTTCCCAGTGGGAAGAAAGGAGGCAAGGATGGTCGAAGGCACGGAACAGCTGAGCAAAGCAGAACTTTTCACGCTGGAAAGAACGAGATAATTGAGGTGGTGACACAGAGATCTCTAAATCACAAATGGCACAGAGAGAATGGATGGACATTGATTTTTTTGCCTTCTTTTCCAGTAAAAGACCTATGAAACAGACTCAGGATATATATAAGGAGATTATTAGAGTGTGTGCAGCTAAGCTATGATGTTCTTTGCTGCAAGATGATGTGCATGTTAAAGGTTACATAGTGTCATCCTTTCACCCCGGCTGATAATTAAGTACTACATAGCTGCTTGCTCACTTCCCCCTTGCCCCTGGCCCTGGTGGGATGGAGAGGAGAAGCAGGAAAAGAAAGCCCATAAAAGTCTTGAGTTGAGAACAGTTTAATAATTGAAGCAAAGTAAAACAAAATAATAGATGTCATAATGCTAATATTAATTGTAATAAAAAGGAGAGGGAGGGAGAGACATAAAACCCAAGAGAAACAAGTGATGCAGAATACAATTGCTCAACACCTGCTGACCATCCCTTCCCTGCTGCCTCCCATCTTCTTGTGCACCTGCTCACTGGCAGAGCATGGAAACTGAAAAGTCCTTGATTTAGGGTAAGCACTACTGAGCAACAACCAAAACATCAATGTGTTATCCACATTATTCTCATACTGAATCCAAAACACAGCACTGTGCCAGCTGCTAGGAAGAAAATTAACTCTGTCCCAGCCAAAACCAGGATACAGATTCCAAAAAGCAACCAGAATCAAAATAGCTTCTTGGAGACAAAAAAATCTGTCAAGGTCCCTTAAATACTGAAGCATCACTTCTGGTTTAGGGAGTCCTTGAGATGCAATTTTTGGGATGTTGCTGAATATCTGGAAAAATAACATTTCCAGATTGCCATGGTATCATATTCTTTTTTAGGGGTCTGACATTGGCCACTGCTGGAGACAGGATTCTGCTCTGTATGGACATTTGGTTAGGTTATTCTTATGACCTATATGTATTTCATCTTGTATTAGTAATTCTCTAATTTGTGAACTATTTTGTGTTTAAAGCCCTCTACAATTTTTTCCCCTATTTTATACAAGAGATCTCCATTTCAAACTGCTAATTATAACTTTAAATTTTGTTTCTGCTATTTTAGAAGATGAAAATCAAATGCCTGTGATTTTTATTTTCTTATGACCATCTACTACTTACATGGCAGCTCACACTGTTTTTAAATACCATTTCTGTATTTTCAGGTTGTCTATTACTCTGTCATGCCCTTTGGACTTGACCTTGTTTCCTATGGATACACAGCGCTGCAAGATGCAATTGGAAAGCTGTATGTAAATTATTCTGTGCATAAAAACAGTTCTCTTCTAGGCATGCATGAGAATCAAACAAAAATTATCAGTTCTGTATTGTTCATGTCAGCATTTTTAATGAACTGTGAAACTGATACTCACTGGTTCCTACCAATGTACATTTCCCTATCAAAGATATTTCTTACACTTATGGCACTGTGCACTCTTGGTTTTAGCTTTTGCTATCAACCATAATGACAATTGAGGAGTTTTATAAAAACATTTACAATAAACTTAGTCAAATGGAAACACATATCATTTGGAAAAAAAGAATGGCTTCCTCAGGTAGTTTTAACTTCCATAACCTGTGCTGCTTTGGAGGTTGTTAGGACCCAATTTATCCCCTTGCATTGATGATGCATGGTATTGCTTGAAACCCCTTTAATATGGTACCAAAGGAAAAGTATTTGATGCCAAAGCAGTGATATCAGTTAGGGTGAAATGTTTTGAAAGTGCTTTCAAGATGTGTTGTGGCTGTAGTCAGGCGTCTGTTCCTTACCAATCCTGCCCTGGTCTCCAGGTGATTTAGTCTTATGATGGGGCATACAGGTCTCATCTCTGAAGGGCATCATGCAGACAAAATGTTTCTAAAATCCATCTTCTTTCTCGTACCCCAAGTACACGAGTGTTTACTCAACTATAGCCTTTTTCCAACACTTCAATCCCTGGTGATCCCACTTTCATAGTAATTCTGTTTTCCTGAATAAGGATGAGTATGGAGCAGAGAGAAGGAAGGTGACTTGCTCCAGCCTGTTCCTGCTGGAACACAAAAACTTGTTCAACTTTTACTCCACCAGCTCTGGTGGGAAAGGTGAGGTTAGGGAAAGGAAGTCACAAGTGAAGAAAGAGCAAGGTTAATCAAAACTGGGCAGGGTATCCCAGTGGGGACAAGGGTAATAATAATGATAATGATAATGATAATAATGATAATGATAATAATAATAATAATAATATAATTGTATTAGAGTTTTCAATTTAGTTTTTGATTTCCTGCATTTATCTTTAGAATTGCAGTATGTCCACAGTAGTTTTGCTCGTCACTACGTGTACATTAGCTGAAGTAAACTCTTATGGTAAATGGAAATTAGTTTGGGGTTAAATTGGAATTAGACAGTAATATTAATAGAAGTTTGCTCAAGCTTTCTCAGTCCAGGTTGCTTCAAAGCATTTCAAGGAATAGTTATTCAAGAATGAACTAAAATGCATGCTATGTTGATTTATTCAAATTCAGCATGAATTTACTTCTTTAGAAAGACAGTGTGCTTTCTTCTACCTTTTAATTCAGTTGTCAGAAGTAAGAATGGTACCTACGACCTCCTGTCTGCCCCTCCAGTTCTTTCCCTTTTAGCATTTGGCAGTTTTATTCTTCTTAGGTTATTTTCAAATCAATGTTTTGTTTCTACTTGCTAGATTTCAAAATCAAAAAAGGCCATCAGTTTTTACTGAGCTGTTCTCATATCCACAGTTATGATCCCCAGTTCTACACATTCTCTATAGACACAAATTTCACTGTCCAGTAATTGTTATCATAAAGGATCTTGGCAGTTTTGTGATATGCTAAGTGTTGGAAGGGGATGAGACTGATTTTATGAATGAAGCATTAAAACAACTCATTTTTTTGATATTATCTTACTTTATGGAGCTTTGGGACATTTTGATTTTCATTAAATTGTGAGGAATCATAGACACACAATAGAAACCTTATGAACAGTTTCACTTTTTTAATTACAGCTGCTTTTAAAAAGTTAAAAAAAATAATCTAATGCCTCCAGGAAAAGAATGGCTGTTTAAACATTTTTAAGGGCTTTGAACTGCAAAAGACTGCATTCCAACTCCATCTTTTTTATGTTTTCTCATCTCTGTTCCCACCTAACACACATTATCTCTGTTTGAATTAAGTTAATCTTTAATAAACAAAAGGTAGCAAAAAAATGGCATGTAAAATCATGGTTCTGATTATGAACATTTAATCAATATTGCTTTATGCTTGAATATTGTGAGTCTAACTTCCGCTGCCTCTTGCTCGGTGGTGGTGTACATATCATGATTTAGACACTCAGAGGTGTGCTGAAGTCTGTCCATACTCAGGAGGTCATGAAGGCACTGAACTGATTTCTGTAGGACTACACATCTGCTCAAATTCCTGATCAAGTATTTCCTGAATGGAAATGCTTTCATGAGTCAGGGCTTTTAGTCTGAAAAAATAAGCAGAGAGGCTGTTTTACACAAAACCCAAGATCCATCACAGTAATGGAGTTGTTAAATTCTTTTGAAGTTACTTGGATTCGTGAGTCCTGTTAAAATTCAGTACATTTTTCATGCTTTACTGAAGTAGAGTATGAATTAATATGGAGGCTTGAAAGCTGTGGAGAATAGAGCTTTGCTTTCTTTGTTTAAACAGTACGAACTGTAACAAACACCTTTTCGTCAGCTGATAATGTAATGTTCCACCCATCAAATCCTAATTTAGGCCTATGCAAAAATTCAGCTTTGAATTATTTAATTTTTGTATTTATTTATTTGAACAGGAACTAGAAAGAAAAAGACTGAAAGGAATATGCATATGCTAGATTTTCTTGCAGAGTTTAGTCTGATTGAGGTGGTTTTTTAAACAATTATTATTATTTTGTTCTTGTAGTTGGTTACACAACTGATGACTTACGGTTTATCTGGCAGTCTGGAGATCCTGTACAGCTAGAGAAAATTGCTCTGCCTCAGTTTGATATTAAAAAGGAGGATATCGAATATGGTAACTGTACCAAGTATTACAAAGGCACAGGTAGGTAATCTAAGTGATTGCCTTCGTAAAACCCTTTTAAGCTTCCTTCAATTACTGTTTATAATTAATGGTTAATATTCCAGTCCATGTCTTACATTTCATGGGATAAAATAGATTACTTTTAACTAATAGGTAGTTTATATAATGGTAACTTTCATATGTGATTACTACAAACTAATTCAAATATAGAGACATCTAAACTGAAGATGGGATTAAAGGTTTGTTTTGGTTTTGTTTACATATCTTATCATCTTCTTATCAGCATTCACTTTTTATAGTTCTATTACCTGTTTATGCTGGTAAATGTCTAACCTTTCTGAAAGAGTGTTCACACAGAATCATGCCAGTTGCAGCAAAGTGGGTAAATTCTGATTTTCTGGTTCAAATTTTGTTCCATAAATGGATAGTATTAGAGTGTAACTTCAAGTGCTTCACCCTGCAGGTTCTTCCTTTCTCTAAGTGTTCTGGAAAGTCTGTCATTATAGAAAACTGCTTAAAATTCTCTGCCTGTATTTATTTAATCCTACAATTATTTTCTGAATGTGAGCACAGATTTATCCAATGGTTTCTGTACTCTGGCTTTTAATGATTTATCTTTTCTACTTTGATTCGTTCCTGCTTATGATTATATCCAAACTACTGACATACTGTGGCAACCACAAAACTTTCTACAAGAATGGAAGTCAGCAGGTGTATTTTAGGCAGTGCCCTTGCATCATATAAATAAATCTCCCATTAAAACTTAGTGAGGGGGACTGTAGTGCTGCAGCCTCTGAGGACCCTTTGCAAGTTTCTCGTTGACTGTTCTGCTGAAGTGGAGACTCTTGTTACTTGTGATTGCTCCTGAGCCTGATTTCAACTCTGAAAAGATCTCAAGTAACCTTAGCAGATCTCAGATTTAAGAATTTAACTTGAAGAGATAATAAAAATTGAAGTGGAGTTTGTCTACAAACTGCAAAATGAGTGAGTTCTTAGCCTAACTACATAATTCAGCATCTCGGGTGATTTAACATTTGTAAATAATAAGAAATTAGCTCTCTTCAAGAAAATTTTACATTTGTGAAAGCACATCCAACAACTGGCAGTGATTGCATTCAAATCTAAGTCAGGATGTGGTAGAAACTTACTTAGTAATGAGAAAATGTTTCTTTCTTAATTAAACAATGAATTTACTGAAAATAAATAGGCTATGAAGTAGTGAAAAATTAAGGAAAAGGATCTTGCATCTTGCATTTCCTGAATGAAATCCATACAAATTAGATAATTATAAAACTTGCATTCTATTTGAGGCAAAAAGAAAATACTCAAGATTGCTGTCTTGTTGTTGAAGTTATCATGATCATTTTGATTTTTGCCCTAAATCTGAAATTAAATGTCTAAACAAAATTAGATATTTTAGATATTTTTAGGGACCTTAAAGAAAAGAATGTAAGAAAAATCAGTGGTGTTCTCTCAAGTTTTACCAGCTTGTGACCACAAGTTAAAATGACACTCTGCAAAATGCTCAGTAAAATGCTCGCATTTTGTGTGTATGTGTGTGTGCTTTGGAACATTAAAGAAAGAACAGAGAACCATCAGTTAAAAAATTAATTTTTTAAAGTTTTCACAACTCTTTTATTGCAAATCCTTTCTGTTAAGAATATCCATTTAATCTCATAATCAAAACTGGAATTAATACTTCAGTAATGTGAAAGGAATATTTAATATTTTAATACTCTGAAGTATTTTTAAAGGTGTTTTAAATACTCCATTTTTATTTACTTTAAATTCTTATGTTGATGGTATTTTAAAAATACCTTCACATACAGAGTTAAAATTAATTCAGCTATGGATTTTGCCAGATAATCAAGAGAAGTGTTGCATGAAGGAGCAAATTTTAAAATTTTGGCTTATGTAGTAGATTCCTGCCTATTGCAAAGAACTCAATCTTTACTGCTTATTTTTGTCAACTGACATTTTATCATAAGTAAGCTGAAAGAGGGTCACCAAATTTGGGGAGATTTTGTGGCAATAAATTGAATATATATATTTGCAAATTGCTTGTTATTCATCAACTGTGTGACAGATTCAGAAAGGTCCTTGTGAGCTGAATGGTGAGGGCAATAGATACTATAGTCTGTCTGATGAAAGACTGTTTAAATGAAGGCGTATGGAATACATTTCCTACATAACACAAACAATGATTTTGAAGGTCATCCCTCATTTGAAAACAAAACCTAAAAGTATCTGGAAACTATTCAGAAATTATAGAGGGATAACTTTTCAGCCAACAGAACACTGAAACTGATAGAATGGACGATAAAATACAGTACTGAGAAGACACTAGTCTTCTACACAAGGATGTTTTTCTTTAATGTTTTATTATTTTGTTGTTTTGGTGTTTGTATGCCTAAACAGCTCTTTTATGTCATTGTACAGCACTTACTTGATAAAATATGGACGATAAATAGAGAACTTTTTGACAGATTCTAGCTTCTAAATTAGCTTTGCACCAACTGGATTGATAAACATGGTCCAATCTGAATTTTGAAGTTGTTGTAATATAACATAGGAATGCTCTTTCTTTGTGATAGAATAGTTTCTGAAGGTTTTTTTTTACAACACTGTTGTGTTTCTATTAATATAAAAATGCCAGTTCTGCTAATTGAGTGAAAATATGAACAGAATTTATTTTCTGGCTATCAGATTTCTTGATACATTTGTTATCTCCAGCAAAACCTCTTGTACTACAACCTTATTTTTTATTGAATTATCTTAAACAGATATCTTCTGAAATATTTTGTGTGCTTTAGATACTCATTTTAAAAGATTTTTTGCAGTATTCCTTGTTTGCAAAATTTACAGCTTTTCTAGAGCCTGTTTTAAAAAGTCTGTACCAATTTTAGAAGTCACCTATATCATCTTTCAGTACGGGGGAAATCTGATTAGAATCAAATTCAGATCCCCTCTTTCCATTCTAAACGTTCTAGATTAATATTTCCGAATTCCACCTTTTGCACAAATTAATGCTAAGTAGGATTTTCAGGTGAGCTTAAGCTAGTAGGACTGCTAGACTCCGTGGTTTTTATCTGGATTGCATACTGCATCTTGAAGCCAGCATCAAGATGAGAGTCAGTTTGTCTTCCTGCTACTGATGTGCTTTGAGAAGATGGAGGGTTCCTTATAGAGCACCGATAATACTGCAGCCTGACCACACTTTGTGGTTATGTAGATCTGTGTTTTAAATTTTTTTTTCAAATTAAACTCTTTGAATTTATAAAGACAATTGAATAATTGAACTTCTGCTCTTAAATAGAAAAAGGCCTGGAAGATATGAATCAGAGGTTCACTTGCAAAACACGTTAAACATTAATGTGTTTATTTCTTTAAAGGTTATTACACTTGTGTAGAAGTAATCTTCACTTTAAGAAGACAAGTTGGATTTTACATGATGGGTGTTTATGCTCCTACACTGCTAATTGTTGTTCTATCCTGGCTGTCATTTTGGATCAATCCTGACGCAAGTGCTGCAAGAGTCCCGCTGGGTAACCTGTGTTTTCACATATGTCACAATCCGCTTTAACACCGTTCTGAGTTGCTTTGACTACATGACACTGGACCCTGAAAGCAACTTCACTTCCATTATTTGCTCATCATTTTCACTGAAATCTCCTCATTCCTAGTCTTCTAAAATCCACCTCCACATTAAGACTTCACTTGACAGTAGTTCCAGCATTTGTGTGACAAGTACACTGTGTCTGCTCCTCTCAACCTGGACAAATCTGACCTTATCTATGTACAGGTGATGCTGCAAACACTGTGGCAATATGAGGTTTATAGAAATTTGAACATTTGAATAATCGGTAGGAAAGCAGGATGATAAGTAAGGCTCTAAAAAGCTACCTATTGGAACAGCTTTTCTGAAGATTAATAGAAACATAATGATGTCCAGAACATAACTAGTATTCTTGTTACCTGCTTGGCTTTATTTCATTAGAGACTCAGTTCATGAGAGTACTTCAACCGCATGTGGTCAGCACAACATAGTAGGCAGGCCCTTAATTTATTATGAAATAGTAGGACGCAGAGTTACTAAAACCATTATTATCTTGGCTAATTGTATTGTACATGGGACTCCAGTTCTGAGGTGGCCAAACTTGCTGACCCCAGTGAAATGAGGAACCAGGCTCTTCCATCTTGACTCTTCTATTTGGATTCCATTCCCCACGCTCTGGCCTCCCCGTGCTCCCCTTTTGCCTGGCACTCCCACCTGCCCAAGCCCATACTTTCCAAATCTTTGCCATGTCCCAGGAGCTTTAGTGCATCTGTTTTTAAGATCTCAGTGGTGCAGTTGCAGAATCCCTCCAGCTGCCTGTCTTCCTCAGAAACCTCTTAAGCACACTGGAATCTCCACAACCCCACAGGACATGACTCCTGTGCAGCCTCGTGTGCATTGAATGTGTGCCGATGAGCTCTGGAGACCCTTGGAGTCAGGACCTGCCACGTCACTTTACCAATTTGTGTCTGTGATCTGCAGAGTCTTGCAGTAGTGAGTAACTAAAATCTCTGTGTTAGGAGTGAGCTGGAGCAGGAACAGAGTTTTTTATGTGGAAAAGCATCCACATACCCCCTGGCCTGAGCTCCATTGCTCTCATCTCAGGTAATCTGCCATGACTCTTCTTCCAGTGATATGACAGAAAAGCAGAGCTGCAAACCCCCCCAAAAATAAGAAGGGTGTGAAGGTCCTTGAATATATTCAGAGGAGGACAGTAAAGTGGTGAAAGGACTGGAAGGTGTGTCCATGAGGAGTGTCTAAGTATTCTGTGTTTGTTTAGTTTGGAGAGAAGGCGTCTGTGGAGCAACCTCATTGCTCTCTACAGCTTCCTGAGGAGGGGAAGTGGAGAGGGAGGTGTTGGAATGTTCTCCCTGGTGTCCAGTGACAGGATGAGTGGGAATGGTTCAAATCTGCACCAGGGGAGGTTCAGACTGGATTACTGAGAAACAGTAAAGAACAGGCTTTCTTGAGAGGTGGTCAAGCCTGACAGGGTTTAAGGGTCATTTGGACAATGCCCTTAACACACTTTAGCTCTTGGTCAGCCCCTGAATTGGTCAGGCAGTTGGCCTGGATGATCTTTGAAGTTCCCATCAAACTCAAATAGTCTGTTCTATTCTAAAATCTGGAGAACCATGGCTGGAGCTCTACTTCTGGTTTGTGAGCCACAATTGGCTACTTTGCTGTAAATGAAGTAAACCACATTGTATTCAGTCTATCTTTTTTCTAGAGCTCTATTTCAGAATACAAAGAAGCTTTTTTTTCTTTTGACCTTTAAAAATATTAGTAGTTACTTGGAGAGGAGTCTCAATCTGTTTTTAGTTTCATGGCAAGTAACAAATACAATCTTTTAGCTTGAAAAGTCGCGAGGATGCATTCCATAATGTGAAACATTAAGAGAGCATTTTAAGAGAAGAAGAATGGGGAAAATGTAAGATGCATTAAATTAAAAAGAATGAAACAGGAACTGGAAATATTTTTCACATAGGAAATTCAAATACGATTGAAACCAAGCTGTATTGCCATTTCTGTGATGCAATGCTTCACATAGCAAACCAGAAAGGCTTATTAATTACATAGGAGATTTATAAGAGTCTTAGTGCTGATTCATGTCACACAGATGTCTTTGTGACTAAATATGCATGCTTATTTATTTTTTATTTGTTTCATTCATTGTAAGCGTTTATTGGCTCCTTTTATGTATTAGCATTTCTGAAATGCTTCATTTTTAACAATACTATTGGCCTAGTTATGTGACTTTTCCTGAATCCCCAGAGAAGCAAAAAAACCCTCCAAATCTGACCATTCTTTATCTGAGTCAGTATTTAGTAATGAAGGTTGTTAATACTTTCACTAGGGTAAGATTTATGTTTCTCCAGTGTTCAGGAGAGCAACAAACTAACTCTTCTAGCTACATCCTTGAAGATAGTTGACCTTGAAATATGGCAAGATTAAGATTTGTGTGTCAAATGAATGATATCTAGCCCAAAAAAATTGTTACCAATGGCTAGATACAGATGTCATCATGTGAGAAGCTACTTCAGATTTATCTACTAATATCTTAATGCAGTCATCCCTAGAATTAAGTGCTGTGGGCTACTGCTCCCCATGGCAAGGCATCTCAGAAGTTTCCAGGTGATTTAGGAGTACAAAACACATGGCAAGCCAGTAAGCAGAATTACGTTTTTATAGACTGTTGTTCTGGGAAGAGGATTTATGTTTCTTTGAAAAAAAAAGGCCTATATCTGTGTAAGAACTAACTAAATTGCAAGCCCTCTTTATACCTGTTTCATTTCACCCAACTAAATCATCTGGTGGTAGAGAAATCCACGAAGGACTGGGATCTGGACAGCTGTGGCTGAGCAACATAAAGGCTGATATCACTGAATGCTTCTTTCTAATTCGATGCTGGTGTTTCACCTTTTATTGAGCCTGACACAGGACTCTGCTGTTCTTTACAGGTGGAAAGGATGCCAGCATCCATTGAAAAAAAGTCCTTTCCTTCCTTCAGTGCTGTGTTATCCCCAAAGGGAGTAAGATCTTCCCTGGAGCTATAGGGATCTGACGGATGTCAGACTTCTGTCCACCCACAGTGGCCTAGCAGAATGAAGCATTGGTCCAGAGTGAAGGTGGGGGTACAACAGGGTAACTAAAAGCTTGGAATACTGATCAATGGTGTGTTGCCCCCATACAAAGGACAGCTAGGTCTCCGGCCAGGCACGCACCACTCGCCACTCATCACTCTTGTCCTCAGATCTGTCTTAGTTCTAGTCATTTATTTTATAAATTTGTAACAACTGTAGGGTTTCAAAGGAAAGGCATAAAGATATATGTTACAACTCTAATATGAAGATGGATTGGCAAGATGATGTCTTTTAGTTTATGGAGATTAATGAGAGAAGAGAATGTACTAGAGATATCAAATTTAACAGAAAGCAAGTCAGAATATTAGCTTTTTCAATAACATTAGTAAGATAAACCCAGGCATTTTTAAAGCAGCAATGTAAACCAGAAAATATTATTTTTTACTGCACATAATTAACCTGTGGAATTTACTGTCAGGAGATAGTGCTGAGGTCAGTAAATTGGTTAGATTCAAAAAAAGGGAGATTTATTTCTCTGGCATGTGCTGAAATGCTATGCTGAACTGGCATTTTCAGACATTTACATGTTACTGTAGGTCATTTTTTAAAATAGTAGCTCTGTACAATCATGCTTTAGACTGGAAGCTAACTAACCGTACTGATAAAATCAAATTTTGTCATCAAGAGGGATGCCACACTAGGGGAAAAAGTGAAGAGGTATTTCCTAAAAATGCCAGCTTTCCCTTTACTTTGCAAGTGTGGAGGAAGGAGCTCTAGGTCCCTTCTCTTTAGTGCTCCCTAAGAAGAAAAGGAGAGATTTTTTTGTTTCCCCTTTTTTTTTTTAATAAATAATCTTTCAGTTTATTTCTTCATGCTCCTCACTCACATTTCAGCCTTAAGCTTTGGACTGTGCTAGGTAGGCACCTAGTGCAGCTGCTGCCAGAGTACAGCTCTGGTACTAGGGTCTCCAAGGCCATGCCAACTCTCATCAGGCAGCAAATGGTTGCTTAATAGAATATTTATGTGCTTCTGTCTCACTTTATTGTTACCTTGAAAACCTAGAAGCTTCTTAGACTCTGAGAATGAACCTTTCATTGTAAGAATCCAGAAAAATGGAATTAGCTGCTGGTCACCATGGCCTCAGTTGAAATGAGTGATGAAAATTCATGAACAATGAAAGCTCCACAAAAATATTTTCAGCTACTAGAACTTCTAAGTTAGTTCTGTAGAATTCAATCCAATAATGTAAGATATAGTATTTTAAGGTCTAAAAAGTTGGTGTACAATTTTTTTTGGCACCAGGCATGATAGTAAAACTCACATATTAAGATACTAAACACTTCTAAAGTCAGTAGGAAAAAATTGCTATATCCAAGATGTTGAGCCAGTCCATATCATTGGTTAATTTGGTTATTCAGGGTAAGGGTTATTCAAACAGCATGCTGGACATAGGCAGATGTGTCCTGTATATGTTAAGAGGCAGTACAGCCTTATTTGTACTTCTTATTGAAGGTTTTTTGTGATCCATCCCCAGCCAGCAGGTGTTGGCAAGTGAAAATAATTTTTTTTTTAAAGAAGTATTCTATGCTTACTTTCTATCCTTATGGGCACGTTTGTACCTTAATGCTTCAGATACAATAGATGGAAAATAAGCCAGAGTGGACACTGAGGATTGTCTGTTTAGTATTTACCATATCATTCTGTTCTGAGGTAACGCATCTGCCCATTCTGTATTATCGCCATGGACAAAAAAAAATCCAACTTTGCAGTGATCCATCAATACTAGATATTTATAAATAAAACATCATAAAATTCTGTGGTTTAAAATTGCATGACTGTAAACATTTCTTTACGCTTCAGTGTTTTAGCAGCTAGTGAATTGCCCATTTGAGATTAATGCCAGATAAAGTATCATGTCAATTTTACTGAAATCCAAATAGGAACAGTAGCAAAAGAATGTGTTGTTTATGATCAACTAGAATTGAATATTTTCATAGGCAAATACAGATATTTTCAATATAATTAATATTTTCACATCCTCAGTTACTTAAAATCTATCTGAAGAAAATTATCTCCCTATGAATGACAAAATTTTTTATGCTTTGGATAGCACATGTGACCAGTATAAGAAATGTAGTTGAGACTAACCGAATATCTCTTTTTGACCAACATTTTCTATGGATGTCAATTATATTTCATTAAACTGTCCACCCATAAGTAAAGCTTTTTATCATTAGCATTCACAAAACCAAAATGGGGCATTCTGAACTTGGAGGTTGAACTAAGTTTTCCCCCTTGACAGCCATTTCTAAAGTTAGCTTTTTCCAAAAGTAGCTGTTCATACTACTGTTCTCTTTTCATAGGACCCTGTGAGAAATCTTTCTGTGAGATCAGGCTTGTATTTTATCTCTTGGGATGTGAGCCTTGTGTGGATGATGACATTTGGAAGCCTTATTAGGAGAAACGCTTGTTGAAATCCACAATGAGTGTGACCTTTCAACAGCCTTTGCACATGTGCGTTTTTGTACATGATAAGGGCTTCATGAAGTGCCCTTTATCTAGAAAGCTTCCTCTAGGTCCTGGAAGCTCAAATAGGAAATGATTGTAGACCCTCAGTCACCTCGGTGTTTTCATCTTCACAGTGAATCAGGAACACAGACTTTGTGATGTGCTCACACAGCTCTGCTCTTCAGCAAAATTTCCCTTTCACCTAAGGTTTGAATATCACACCCGTGAACAGGTCATTCAGAGAATTGCTCCTGCTGCAGCACAGTTCAGATTTCTGGGACAATGGTAGTCTAATTTAAAGGACTTGGAGTCTTTTGGTTTAAGAGTCATATATTTCATTTCCACCTTCCCAGACTTGCACATTGTAAGATAAGTCTTTGGAAAGCCCATTCATTTCCCAGCTGTGTGTTGGGGCACGAAAACCACAACAACCAGTTTAGCCTCACTTACTTGTTTCTCTGTTTATAAAATGAAGATACTTAATAATTCACCATTAACTGCAATATCCTACATAAGTGTTCAGTTTAATATGTTCATGAACCGAAGGCATGTGCACTTTGTACACCTGCTACACCAACCACATTGTGAAGTCCCATTCACTGTTACAAAACATCATTCACTATTGTCTGTTTCAGAGGAAGAGCACAGCCAGTATCAATGAGAGGAAGTTTTCTTAATCAATATGTTGTTTTTTCTTTTTGTAGGTATTTTCTCAGTGCTCAGCTTGGCATCTGAATGTACCACTCTTGCTGCTGAACTTCCCAAAGTGTCTTACGTGAAGGCCTTAGATGTCTGGCTGATTGTTTGTCTTCTCTTTGGCTTTGCATCCCTGGTGGAGTATGCTGTGGTTCAGGTAATGCTAAACAATCCAAAGAGAATTGAAGCCGAAAAAGCAAAGATTGCCAAGGCAGAGCAAGCGGAAGGGAAGGGTGGAAATGCTGCCAAGAAGAACACTGTGAATGGCACAGGGACTCCTGTCCACATCAGCACTTTACAGGTAGGAGCTGCAAAGATCTGTACACAAAATCAGCATTATCCTCTATTAAAACAATTCCAGGAGTATACTCTGGTAATAGTTTTGAATAGTGCTTAATTTTAGAAGTGGCCAAGACATTAAAAATGTGCTGGTAACTAATGACTAGAAACGTGACCAATTGGTCCCTAGTGATTTGGGGTCAGATGTACTAAATGAAAAATTTGTCTTTTAATATCCTAGCACCATGGTTGCTGCTAAGCTTCAGGTAAATAAAGTAGCAAGCAACTTTACAGTTGTTAGTTTTCTCATAATAAATAGCAGCTGTCAAACTGTAACTATTCAGAGGACAGAACTCTTAGACAGTATTTGCTGAGACCATACTCAAATAACACCCAGCTCATTGCTTTCCTCCGGATAGCCACAGCTGCACTGCATTGTATGTCAAGCATCTGTGAAGCCAGGAATCCAAAAGTCTTGGCATCTATAAACAAAAGTCAGGTCTCTTTGTCTGTCAAACAGTTCCTGCATTTCTTTTGTAGCCAGATAGCGTTTATGCGTAAATCAGTCAGATATCATTATAAGGACAAAGATGACATACATCTTTGCTCAAGCCAAAGTTTTCTATCATGTTGCTGTATTCCTGTTACTGTAGAAGTCCTTGTTTGGGCTCCAAGAGTTATCAGACATCCCAGGCCAACTGCCCTCGGTCCTCAGTGATATTTATTTGACATTTATTCTGCAGAAGAAAATACATTATGCTACAGTATGTGTAGTATGAATTTGGCTTGTCCTTTTCAATGACTCAGCAATTTTTTGTATAAAGTAAAGCTTTAAGGCCAGATCCAAGTGATACTATTGGTACAATTTAACTTTGATCTTTCTTTAAAGAAGAAGTAGTTTATGCCAGAGTGGCCAAAACCCTGTCCTAGTATCAAGCTGGGATTGATAACTAATTACCCCCAGTCCAGAAGAGCTGTAGGTATTGCAGGGCAGTGCACTTTACCATAATTCTCATCTGGCAGAAGAATCTCTGGGAACTGTTTTGGCAGGCAGCTAGACTCAGCTCAGAGTAACTCCATGACTGCTTTGACTTGTGTCACAAGTAATTCTCCAAGCCCAGGCAACATGGGAACTGAGTAGAAATATGGCTCTGCTATAGATTTGCTTTCCCTGAACTGAATGTGATATTTTTGTGTTCAGCAATTTGCAGGTCCCAAATTCAACTGTTTCTTGTGACAAAATAGTTGCAGCAATCCAGCAAAGCAGCACAAAATATATTTTTCTATTCCAAGTATTTAAAAAGTGCTAAGTGTTCAGCTTGATCAATGGCAAATTTAACAAAAAATTATAGTTTTTCAGTAGTGTGAATTGCTAAATTACTGATTCTCCTTGGTGTGTACACCCTTTCAGGTGCTGTTGTCATACCTATACAGGGAACAAAACTATATCTTTTATTATGTCTGTTGTTCTTACATCTTTTATTTTTTTTTCAAGAAGGCACTGAGTGTACAGTGGATTTTAAGACTTAGAGGAAGGGGAATCACTGTCCATGGAAGTTCAGCAACATTCCCCATGACTGGTGTCTAGCAGCAAGCTGAAGGTTCTGAGAATTTAGACTTCAGTCTGCCTTCCAAGATCTCATAGTGCCTCCCCTCCACAATCTTGAAATGTCAGCGTCAGCTTTTCATGTTTGACCTGCACTTTTCAGGGTCTTCCCAGTTTGTTATGAGAGACCTTTAACATTCCAATACCTTCTGATGATCTTTATACAGAGAATTACAAAAAAATTGTTTACCAAGACATGGTGAAAATAGGTATTCATTGCTATAAAAGTCGGTCACATGGCTGAGTGGCTCATAACTAGTCATCCAGCTGGAATTCATCCGCCTGCTTTGAAACACAACCTGCCAGAGGAAAGGTATCCTGGGCTGGTAATTTCTGGGAAGATGACCAGGCTGAGATAGAAAAAGGTCCCAGACCAATGAATCATTTGACATCAGGATGTGGCAGGATGGTGATGCTACATTTTATACATTTGAAAGCTATAAATCTGCCTAACTGAAAACTCCCTCTCTGAACCAGCTACTGTGTAGGAGTACTTTGAAAGTTCTCAGCCATGCAAAAGCCTGTACTAAAGTCCTAAATCAAAGCAGGTGTAAATCTTTTGGTAGTTCTGACTCCTAATCCAAAACTAGGCCTGCCTCAGGAAAATTGGATTGCTCCCATACAGACCTAGCAGTGATCAAGTAGAGAATGCGTTCGTCATATGGCAAATATGCAAGGGACAGAAACATTAAAGAAACAGGTAATGGAAAAAAACTGTATGTTGAAAGGTATAAAGAATACGAAACAAAAAGAGGCCAGAGTGCTGTACCAGAACTTCAGGAGCTGTTTCTCATCAGGGTCATATAGGATTGTGTGAGAGGAAAAAGAAAATACTTTGTTAAATGTCTGGAAAGACTTGGGTGACCTGGTGTGTAGCTTTAGGACAACTAAAGAAAAAGGACAACTTAGAACTGCACCCTGAAATGAGTATGCATCCTGTAGAAATATTCGAGGATGTTCATTTTCCACATAGGAGATGGTACTTAGGCAAAAGTGACTGAGGGTGTATCTGGAAATGTCAGCTTGAAACAGTGGATAGACCAGATGTGACTCAAAAGTAAAGCCAACAGAAAAGACATAGAAGCAAAAAACTCCAAGTGGGAAAAAACAGAGAGTATAAATAATTCCATTTGTAAGTGTTTCTGCAGTTTAAATGAAGCACTTACATATTATAAAACATTAACTGAATGGTACTGATATATATCTGTAAGTTATTAAAAGGGAACCAAATTTTAAAAGAGAAATTACTTTATTTCTCTGTAAAATGCCCTCTATCCCAATACCGTGGCAGTTTGCTACCATTCCTTGAGCAGCAAGTTGGGCTGTTGCTGCTTTTGCAGCATTGCAGCGGTGATGTCTCTGCAGGAGATTTGGGGAAGGGGCCTGTATGTAAGGTACGGGGGAGTTGCTGGGTTAGGAAGGCCCTAGGTGGGAGGGGGATCAGAGGGAGCACAGGGAAGCAAGTGGAGTGATCAGTCGTTCCTGATTCTAGCCTTCATGAAAGAACTTTTTTTCATGTGCTTGGTCCATTTGTGAAAGCTAAAATGGCATCTGATTTGGAGACCTGGCATGTTTGATTAGTAAAAAACAACCATAACAAAACCACATGATAATACTTAAAATACAGGCAGCTATTTTTCCATATTTATGACAAGAAATTGGGAAAAGTGATAAAATTTTCAGTATATCCTAAACATGAAAGGTTAATGTAATTCATGATGGAAGGCTAGGAGAAGAGATCCTGTGTAGCAGAACCTGTAAGGGTCCACTAGAAGTTTTCACTTTCGGCACTGTGTCAGTAGAGTCAGCGCTCCTGTCACCAACAGTGACAGTGAAGATGTCAGGGTGAAAACAGAGCTCACAATTTGCCAATCACCTAAAGATCGAGGAAGGCTTCCATGGATGTGTACCCGTTTCTCCTCTCCACCAAATCCTGGGTACTGGCTTATGTAAAAGCTGCATGTTGCTAGTGTTCGCCAACACCCCGAGTCCATGCTTTATGAGTCATGCTGCCTGCAACAGAAACCCTTGAAATGTCAGTGCCATTTTAAACCCAGAGGTTTATCAATATGACTGTCTGATTAAAGCCAAGAGGTCTATCTGTCAAGATAACCCTGAATCTGTAGAAAAAAAAAAGAGAAAATTCAACATAAGCACTTCTGATGTGTTTTTCTAGAAGCAGCAATGGCTATGCATTTACAGACAAAAAGCCATGAAAAAGTACAGCTTGGCTCCCTTAGCTCATAGCGGCTGCAAGTAGATGCTGTTCTAAGTAGAGGAGAAAATTATGCAACCTGGTGATAACTGCTTTCAGTTGAGGCTTTTTGTTGGGAAGCCTTAGTAGGAGTTCGCATGTGTTTCCTAGCAATGCAACATCATACAGTGAGAAAAACAAGCAAAAAGGGAAATGTTTTGAAGATGAATCAGTTTCTTTTTGCTTTCACTGCTGACGTGATTACAGGGAGAGATTGCCCTGTTAACTATAACACCCCTCGATTTGAAAAGTCACATTTTCATCAAGCCCATTTATAGAAGCTGTCCCCCACAGATAATGTGCTAATGACTGGAGAGAACATTTGCTAAAAGAATGGTTCTGGCAGATGATGAATAGCGCTATGCAAGTGGTGGTAATAGCCCTAATCCCAGTTATTTTTAAAAAAGAAGCGGTGCTATTGCTTGCTTTGTCTTGTCAGAGGCACATCTAGGCTCTGAAATCTAATATAGGTTATGTTCATCTCTACTGATTTATAATACACCTGACCATTGGTGTTGACCTGTGGTGACCTGATCTTCCTGTATTGTCTTTTTCCCTTGAGTGGCACTCCAGACTGAAATTTTTATTGCAGAACCACCAGACACCCATTTTACATTTTACCTTGTACACAAAACCACAGGCTGCAGCCTATTTTAATAGTTCCTGACAGCATTTCAGGTACAGAGTAGGTACTTTCTGCTCCAGTGACTCATGTATTCATCCTTGGAGATAATTCCAAACATGGCTGTAAAAAGACCCCGAGCAGTCTGCTTTGAGCTGGGGGTTGGACTAGATGATCCCCAGAGGTCCCTGCCAACCTCAGCTATGCTGTGATACTGTGATATTTTATGCATTAATATTTTTTCTGCTGTACTTTGCAAGGAGTATTTGGAATGTGGTAGCAAATTCTTGCTGTGCTGCACTGGAAAATATACTCAGTCTGACTAAACAATCATTATATTATTGATGATCTACATCTATCATTATGACAAGAGCAAGAGAAGAGCTCAAAACAAGTGCAAGAAAGATTAATGACAGAGCTTGTTAGAAAACTCCTCCTTTATCTTCTATGGAAGACTCTTACACAACTAGCAGGATTTGTCATAGATCCGCATGCCAAAAAGAGGTTGGGTGCAACAGCAAAGGTGGCAAGGAAGATGTG